CGAGCGAAACATGATTATAAGACCGAAAACTCGAAAAAGCATATTTTGGTTATTGGGTTTTCCAGAAAACCTTAGGGTTTTGTAAAATTTCTTTTGAGATCTCCGATAAATATGATATAGAATAGCTTAAAAGCTCTACATTCTGAAAATTTGAACTCGTTCTGATGTTTATTGAGCGAATAGTGAATCTTTTAATATTAGGTGGAAACAGCCGGGAAACCCAAATTTTCGTAAAACTGGCTTTTCGGTAGATTTTTAGAACTTTTTCTAGAAATAACTACTGCCACGAGACTCAGCATGATCGATTACCTATAGTCTATCCGTTTTCAAGACTATCAATGGTCACTGGGTGCCAGTCCTGAGACTCGTAGGAAATCCGACACAACACTAGAGCCGCAGAAAATCAAGATTTCGCTCTACTCTCGTTTTGAAGAAGACACCTTGGACTATCAGACCATGGAGGAAAATCAATACAACCCTATTAAAAAGTTTTTACACGCGACCTGGTTTTTCAAAGATCTCCTGGAAAAGCTGTTTTAGAAAACACTTCTGAAAAAGTTTCTGCTTACGAAAACATGCCCCCAAGTCTCCGCTTTCTTATGGCGAAAGCCGGAGCTCTCTAGCTGGCTTCTATCAAAAGTTATTAAAAAAACAACGGAGTCCATTCTATTTTGGTACAGACAGTAGTTACTTTCTCATTTATGCATGTCGAATTGTAGAATAAAATTGCAGCTGTATTAAGAAGCTGTACTAATGTATATCTGAAGAAGTTCCAATCCGTAGCTGAATAATTGTATATTTTGCGTCTTATAGGTGGAGAACGTTGTCTATGCGTAGCAAACGTAACTCTAACAATTTTGTGATCACAATTAGCACATAAGCGATCATCAATTTCTATGTTTTGTATTATGTTATTTGAACTGGTAAAAGCAAAGTCTAATGCTGTTTGTGTTTGACCGTCGTTACTAACACGTCTAGGTTCTTTTACCAATTGATTAAATTGCAACGCCTCACAAAAATCTTGTTACCCGCTACTGTTGAGGGATGTGTAATTGCACCATTTCTCACATTGAGCATTAAAATCGCCTACTAAGAGAAGAGCATTGAAATTGCTTGATTTTAAAACTTCATAAATTGTTTCTGTTAAAAAATCTATGTATGAATCTATTTGATCATTATGCATGCCAGGAGTGTGGTAGTTGACAGATAAACATACTCTACCTATTTTTGGCAAAAGTATCTCAAAAAACATAATTTCGTAACTTTTATTTTCTAGGTTAAAAAGCCGTTTAACTTGCAAATGTTCTTGGTAATAAAGCATGCATCCTCCTCCTTCTCTATCTTTATCTGAACGTTCTAGCTTGTATCCATTTATATTCTATGGATGTATCTATATATCTCCATATATAGTGTTTAGCTCCATTTTTTCTTGTAATATTACTGGATATTAATTTGTTTGACGTAAATAGTACGAATAAATAAGTAGAAGAAGGCGGTCAGAAACGTGTACTCTTGTCTTCGTTACGTATCAGTGACTATGCACACGATTTTAAATAATAGTTTTCGTACTACTTTTCAGATTATTACAAACAATTGGTTTTATATTTTTTTCGTTTTAGCCGCCGTTTTTAAAGACAAAGCCTTGCTCGTGTGAGTATTTTGAAGGAGATAATCATAATATATCATTTATCGTACTTGAATATCTTTCAGCTAGAATAAACAGGCCAGATCTAGTATTTATATAAGATGCACCAAATTCAAACTTTCCACACCATTTTATTTTAGACTTAATTATACATCATTCGATAGAGCTCGACGAGCTAATCAGTAATATCTACGCATTAGCTTTATAAGGTTGGTTTCTGAATGAAAAATCTTCAAAGTAATAGAAGAGTCTAAAATTTCTTTTAGTCTAAAATTTCAAGAAACCTGTTAGTTTCAAAGAAATTCAAATTATTATCTTTTACATTCTACCAACTTTTCGAAAGTATTTCTCGAACAGCATTAAACACTGAGTATGAGAATCATGCTTGATCAAGATTGAAGTCAAAGGTCTGTCGAATATTGACGTCTTGGACTTCCCCTGTAAGAAGTTCCTAAATAAATTTGCAAACCTATCTAGTATTTTGTGTAAAGGGACGAAGCCGACTCTTTTATTTAATTAGAATCGCCTTAAATGAGGTTTGAAAGTACGTTCTGCGTTTTTTGAAACTCCTGTCCGTTGCTGAGAAGTTTCACTTTTTTCTAAATCAGCAGCGAAACAATCGGAATTGAGCTCGTAATTCTCAATTTTCTCTACCAGAATTCACTTTTTATGCAATACAAGTATCATATTTGGGGTCAGCCTTGAAAACCGAGTCTAATGGTGTATGTTTTGAAAGTTTTCATTGATTTTCATTTTTTGGTGAAAATCTATGTAATTTTTTGGCGTCAAAATTCGAAAAAACAAAGGTGGTCAGATAGCATAAAAACATACACCATTCGACTCCGCTTTCGAGGCTGACTCCGAATATGATACTTGTATTGCATAAAAAGTGAGTTCTGGCAGAGAAAATTGAGAATTACGAGCTCAATTCCGATTGTTTCGCTGCTGGTTTAGAAAAAGAGAAATTTCTCAGCAATGCACAGGAGTTTCAAAAACGCAGAAAGTACATATTGGATAGACCTTTGACTTCAATCTTGATCAAGCATCATTCTCATACTCAGTGTTTAATGCTGAATCCGAGAAATACTTCGAAAAGTTGGAAGAATGAAAAAGATAATAATTTGAATTTCTTTGAAACCAAAAACGGGTTTCTCGAACTTTTAGACTCTTCTATTACTTTGAAGATTTTTCATTCAGAAACCAACCTTTTAAAGCTAATGCGCAGATATTACTGATTAGCTCGTCGAGCTCTATCGAATGATGTATAATTAAGTCCAAAACAAAATGGTGTAGGAAGTTTGCATTTAGTGCGTCTCATCAATGCACATGGAGTAAATTCAGGAGTGACTTTTACTTATGCTATTCGAAAGAGCATTGGAAAGGTCAATGACCCTGCAGTAACTCTGTATGGAAGTGTTTTGCTTAGAGGGTAAAGACAAAACATTCTACTGGAGCTCACCGCCGATGCACCGAAAAAACGTGAATTTTCACAAATTTTCGTATGTTTTGATTTTCCCAGAAACCATCAAAGTTCTATTAACCGTTCATGTCTTCTTTGAGAGAATGATGTTTACTCTATAAGATGGTGTGTTTACACATAATAATACACTAAAGTATCTAACACTTAAAAGTACAAAACTAAAATATTTCATGTTTTTAAATATGAATTTTTTTCAATATTTTTTCAATAAAGACTGCTCGTCCCAAAATAAGTCTTGCTTCATTTTGTAGAGCAAACAATTCGGCATTGATTCATATATAACAAGACGCTTTTAAACACGAGCATGATATACTTTTAAATGAAATATTCGAGATGAGCATAGACCCAAGCGTCAAAAAAAAATCTAGTATCGCCCGATTCATCTAGATTACTAGATTTTTACTCGATTGCAACTAGTGTGTAACAACAATGGAAATCGAGTAATCGGGCGATTACTAGATTTTTTCTAGTTGCAACTATTGATTTATCGCCCGATAATCGATCGATTTAACTATTGCTAGATGCACCTGCAGACGCATCTAGTTAAAAGTCTCTTTTCCAACTAGTAATCTAGATGGCAACTAGTCGTGTATCGCCCGATTACAGACCAAATGTATCTAGATTTTTCGCATAGGTGATATTTGCTTGGGGACCGAGGCGTTTTTTATCTTTTTGTTACTTTTCTAAATTTTGGTATAGATTTTGAAAGTGATGGATGGACAGAATCCTTTTCGGACCATAAGAAATGTAGAGCAAATATTTTCCTAGAAGACGAGACGTCGGGCAGTTCTGTAAGATATTTTATTCTAATACTAGACTTATTTTGCTATTATCCGTTACAATTAAATCTTGTACACCTATACAGTTTTTTACTTAGTAAATATATTCAAATGTTTGGTCCTATTCGATTCGTCATACCACCAGTCATAAAAGCATGCACTGCCTTTTTTTTCTTTCCTCTTCGTTTAAGAAAAAGCATTTTTACTGATATATATGAAAAAAGCAGAAGGTGATTTTTAAATAAAATTATATTTTACTCATATGGAGCCAAAATTTACCCAATAAATGATTTTTTGAGGTCGAAAAATATAAGAAAGTTGGCTCCAATGGTCGATATTTCCAAACACGCATCATTTTCAAACATATCCAAAATTTTCCACTTGATTTTCCATTATTAGATCTCAAAATTTGTTTTCTGAAATTGCATGAAAAACTGGGTATTTAAACGGCGTTACCCAGGTCGTTCATTCCTGACTCAGGATCCAGTCGAAGCTGCCGGATCCGACGTCGGCAGACATCAGAAGGCGTCAGATTGCAACAAAATCCGTCCCGATCCGTGGTGGATTGCATCGGAATCCTATTGCTCGAATTCCGATCGGAAATTGTATGGAAAGGATCCGACCGTTGGAAATAGCATCGGAAAGCGCCGGATTTTATCGGATTAACGGGTAGTTTTTCTAACTGTCAAGAGCTAATATTTAGCCATAAATATCTTTCTTTTTGTTCACTATTTATTTTTTGAATCAGTTCCTGGGACTAGCCCAAGGCGTGTGTGACTGACTCAGTGACACGTCTTCGAATAGCAGTGAGTTTCGATGACTCACACTGTTCGGTGCGAAAACATGGAGTAAAAAAATCTCATGTTTCATGTTCTACGGTGTTGTATTTATACGAGAAATACGAAATTGTTTCATCTAGTTTAAGAGGAGAAACGCTTGGGACCATCTACGTCATTGGAATAGTACTATTTTTATCAGAATCACTCATATATATATTTAATTTTACAAGAGTGTTAGTCATCAAAACATAGGAAAAACATGCGTTGTTTATTAATGGTAGTGATAGCTGGTAAGTCTGGAGGCACAAAGAAGTTAGCGTTATTTTCTAATAATGTTGGTCTCAATATAATTTTAGCTGAATTCTTATTCCGATCCTCATTAGCAGCGTGTAACTGTTCCTGCGCTACTTCATCTCCTGTTTCTCATTCACCTCCTATTTCTCATTCACTTCCTGCTCCTCATTCACAATGTCCGTCAACATTCAAATGGTCGCTTAATGGCCGTGTTGTTGCTGGTTCCGTTTCGGGCAGTGGGTCATCATTGACTCAGCTAATGCATCCCACAGGAATATTTGTTGATCGTAACCAAAACGTTTACGTTGTCGATGAGTCTCGTGTGCAACTCTGGTTAAAACAGTCGAAATCTGGCAAAACAGTAGCGAGCAGAGGTCTGGCCGATCTAGAAGATATTCTTGCCGATGATAAAGGAAATATGTTTATTGCAACGGTGAATTTTATTCTTTACTGGAAAAAAGGTGCCAGTAGCAGCTCACGTACTATTTCGTTTATGGATCGAAGCATATTTCGATATATGTGCTTCGATGGCGCAAATAATTTGTATGTCACAGATTCCGGACAAAATCAAGTTCTCAAATATTTTGCTCCGGGATACGTGTCAAAAGTCATTGTTGGTGGGGACAAAAACGGCATAGGAGGAAAGGGTATGAATCAATTAAATGGACCAGTGAGTGTTTATGTCGATGAGAAATACAATTTGTTTGTCGTTGATGCGGGAAACAGGCGTATACAAAAATACGCGAAAAATTCTAAAACTGGTGTGACAGTA